TGGAATTTGACGTCTTCACGTAAGGAGTTTCGTCTTCGTCCTCCGCGACCACCTTCGTCTTCCTCCCTACAACAATCCAATCGACGATCCAAATGACGATCCAAATGACAGAACCGATCGACTCGAGGAAGGCTCATCTGACCCGAGGGCAAGGTGTCGGAGCGGAGCCGGCCGAGCGCGTAGGTGCCGTCGGGGGAGCGCGCGAGGGCGTCGAGGTCGTCCTGGACCCGCTGCAGGCTCACGCCGAACGCGAATTCCATCGTGAGGTTCGAGAGGATGCTGCCTTGGGTGTTGCCGTGGCAGACGGTCCGCTTGTAGTAGGGGCGCTGGCTGCTGCTCGCCAGGGCCGAGACCAGCTGGGGAACGAGTAAACCCCTGAATTTAATTTGTTAAATTTTGATGAATTGGTTTTAGGGCATGAAATTGCGTCGGCTGACTCCTTCCTCGATGGCGAAGCAGAGATCGCGGAAATCCCTGGATCCCACCTGTCCGTAGCCAGGCTTCCACACCATGTTCACGATGTGCAGTTCCTCGATTCTCAACTCCACTGCAAATAATAATGATAATGATGATGATGATCATAAGATAATCATGATAAGACCAAGAAATGACGAAAACTGAATACCATTAAATTAAATAAGGAAACCCACCGGAGCCGTCGGCAAACGTGACATCCCACCCGACCGCGAACGCGAACACGAACGCGAACGTGAGCGCCCTGCACCTCTCACCCATCGCTGAAAAGGACTCGAAGGCTCAACCTCGAAGGCTCAACGTCGAAGACTGAACGGTCTCCCGGATCAAACTCCGCATCGACCGGTTGTCAGGAGTGATTCATGTCCAGAAGTAACAATTTCATGCATTTTCTCGTCGACGAGAGTTCCTCCCCCCCCCCCCTCCCGATTACGTAGGTGTGCAAAATTTTCTGCTTATTTTTTGCACAGCGCGAATTTTATGCATGAATTAAAGAAGCATTGCCAACGGGATCTACAGTGTTGGAGTTTATAAATTTAGTTTTTATTTTTAAATATCAGATTGGGTTGAAATAAGAATTTCTAAGAAAAACTTCTTCCAAGGAAATTTCTTTCTTCTTTCAAGGAAATCATTCTTTGCAATTTTCCTCGACAAACGGAAATAATTTTTTTTTCGACGAAATTGTTGAGGCAATTTCCCCTCGGCGGTTTCCGAGCAACGGCGTGACGCAATTCTCGAGTTCCCCCCGCGGATCGATCGGCCACGGATTTCCTCGACGGGATCGATGCCATTGCCGCGTAATGGCATCGTGCGATACGCCGTTACCTTCGCCGCGGAAATCGGTTTCTCCTCCGAGATTTCTCCCGACCGCGTCTCCATCGTCTTTTTCATTCATTTCAGACGTGAAAAAATTGCTTCATGGACTCGAATCGTTTCCTCTTGGTTTTGGCCAAAACTGCTATTTGTAGCTATTTGTGGCTATTTATAGCTAAGTGAGGGTGCGACAAAAATGACGTCATTCATCGCACAGAATAACATTCAAACAAATCGATTTCGAAACTGCGCTCGAACGATAGAACGCAGTACTGAACCTCCTCGACCAACGATGAAGCTTTTAAACAGCTCGACGAAAAGAAACAGAGCAGAGGACGAGGAGAGGTAAAAAAAAAACACTACGGATCGAAATGGTGAAACGGGTCGAGCGATCCCAACGCGGCGCAACCGATGCATCTCGCGGCAGGATGTTGAAGCGAGGATATAGGAGGTGAGAGAGTAAGAGGAAGCCATCCGCAGGATGTCGAAGCGAGGATATTGGAGGTGAGAGAGTAAGAGGAAGCCATCCGCAGGATGTCGAAGCGAGGATATAGGAGGTGAGAGAGTAAGAGGAAGCCATCCGCAGGATGTCGAAGCGAGCATGGAGGGGACGCGCTCGGGACGGAACCTTCCTAATCCAGACGGCGAAGAGTCGTGACCTCTTCGGACTGGAAGAAAGCTTTGAGATGACCCCACCGAGAAAACGATGAAATGGATGCCATTGTTCCTTGAAATTGCCAGGCGCGAACGATTCCGAGTCGACTCGTCGAATACCGAGAGAGGGGAAATTAATAAGGTGAACCGGATGCGGTCGAGAGTCTCAGATACGCAACGGAGGCCGAGCGATCCAACGAGCCGATGAGAAAATGAAATAATGTGAAAACCAATATTCAATTACTTTCCCTTTCTTCAACTCCAACCCTGCCTTACGGGACTCACCAACGTTCGGCCTAGGCTAAACCGATCTTCAGGTTATGCCAAGGCCCACCTTTTTCTTTTCAAACTCAATTCTGGACTTAGCCTTACGAGTGTGAATCCGTGGTCTTCGAGACATCTCGTTGAGGACGTGTAACGTTAGGCCGATCGCAGGCCTATTCCCAGCAAACAATTTGAAACACATGACGTTGAAACAACGCCGAATGAACGTTCCGGACGTTGATACGACGTTGGTTCGACGTAGCCTCGTTTGCTGGGTTCATACTGTCACGAACCATTTCAGAGAGGGCATGTACCGTTAGACCGTTTTGAGGCCTATTTCGCGTTTCATGAACCATTTCAGTGGGACGTCAGGCCTATGTGGAGTTCCTCGAAGCACCTCGAATAGGTCTGAGGAGGGAATACTTCCAGGAAACATGGAATCCATCCTGTTTATTCAGGGATGCCCGGATGATTATATCTCGATATCTCACCACATCGATGAATCACTGCTAACCACCTGCTTCATTCTTAGCTCGACTCATGAACACGGCACAAAAATAAAAAATGTCTCATACACTAAAAACAGAAGGTTCAGACACCGATACAAAAGTTGAAGTAGAATCTGGCAAAAAAATCTTGAATCTTGAATCTGGCAAAATTTCGGCACGGTATCCGGCAACACTGGGGGATGGGGCCGGAGCCAGCACTCTAAGGCTTAAATGAACGACAGCTAATTTCCCTTTTGTGGCGAAGTGGTGCATCGCAAACAACGAAAATGATACTTTTCGTCATCTATGAGTCGATGTCTTTCTCATGGTCGGTCTTTTTGCTCCAAAAACCCCCAAAGGAGTGGCTACCCGGGGAAACGAAATGAATTTCAGGTAATCGTGTCAGGTGTGATCTATGCGATCACATCTTCAAAAAGCGAGATTCTGTTTTTCCCGTAACCTCTGGAAGATGGAGCTTCAAATTTGCAAGGAGGGATTTTGTGTTGAGAGAGGAAGAAACATGCCCAGTTTCGATTCTGTTGATGCTCTCAGGGAGGAAACGGGGAGTTTGACGTTTATTACGGGAGGGGGTTGAAGTAATAGGCGCTACCAAAGCCCGTTGATAAATGAATAAATAAATAAAGGTACCATCACTAGGGTACTAAGGCTTCAGCACTCTACAAGTTGTGTCCAAAGTTTTTTCGTGCCAGAGCGAAAATGGTTCCAAACAAGATGTTTGAGTCTGAAAAAACGAGTCTCTTCCAGGTTAGCTCATTTCAATGGTGTCATACTTTCTAGCATATATTTGTGTTGATAAAAGGAAAACGTTCTGGAAATACTTTTGGCTGTCGATGATGGACGAGAAGCTTTACAAAATGAGATTTTATGGCTGGTGAATTTCACATTTCTGGGAAAATTTTTTTAAATCGCATTTTCGCTTCCAAAATGCTCGTATTCTGAGTTGTGCTAATCAGAAGAATACATGGAATTTTTCATTGCGAGAGAAATCCAACTTAAAACGCCCAAAAATGCCTGAAGGTACACAACGTCGATCATTCGAGTTGACTCTTGTGCTTCTGTCTGTCACAGAGTGGACCAACTCTCATCAAAGTTGACATTAAGCTGGCAAAGAGACTTGGTGATCCACTCGCATCTTCCCCCATTCGGCTCTGCCAGGATATCATGCCAGCTTCGGAGGAGGGCATGAGGCACGTACCTCAACGTTTGGGGATGCAGATTAGTTTACAGAACCAAATTCTTTCCTGTTCTTCATGGAGTTTGATGGGAAAATCTCCAACTTTCAACAATGTGCTGGAATATTTAGTTTTCCTTCTCAATAGTCTTTTGACACAATTATCAAAACATTTCAGTTTCAGAATACATCATCAATTTGAAATAGGATTAATTTCATTCAGTAACTTAACACAAGGACAAAACACCATTTCGCAATACAGATGCAAATGACTGCCTAACCTTTGAAATCCCGTAGAGAACTCACTCGATTCAAATCAATACGTGAAAGTGTCATCTTGCTGATGGAATGTGATTCTCGAGTGAAGGAACCGTCAGTGCAACAGAAGTGGATATATTCTGGCATCAATACAAAATAAGATCAGAAAAGTCATGAATATCTATTTATGATAGTAACATTTGGCATGAATATTATGTAAAATCACCAACAATCATCGAGGGATTAATCATGTGGTTCATTTTAACTGGTATAAAAGAATATCTGACCATAAATACAGGGGCTTCTCCATAAATATAGGTTGTTAAAACAGAAAATATGCAAACTTTCCAACTCTATACATATAAACTTACATAGGCACATATATTTGTTGTTAATATGTAATAATTGGCATCAGTTTACATACAGGAAAAATAATACGAAAAATAGCCTCATGTTGAAAATGAACAAATAAAAATTGGCTGCTCTTTTTTCACTAACATGCAAAAATAGAGAACATCCAATAGCGCCAATTGGGAATGATCACACGGCGGATCATGATGAAAGCTGGAACACTGGTGGAAATGGAAAGACATAATTGGAACATGGAGGAAATTTCCCAAATGAATGCAATGTACTATCATTTAGGTACTACCAGTCCTCAGGGGCAATGAACTTCCCCTAAATTGAACCAATGTGAAGCAAGTAGATAACCAAATGAGAATCATGAATCTTTCAATGTTACAGGTACTCCAGTAAGGTACTATCCTATGTCTGTGGAATCCCTGTAGGTGTGAGAATATGGCACATAAGTATGGGAACAAATTACAATATCATGAACACAATCCGAGGTACACGATCCAAATTTGGAGATTTGTTCCATGGAAAATGGGAATGCAAGCAGTCAACTGCAGTGGAAAGAAAGGAGATCATGGTGGGGTGTGCAGATGGAGACATCATCCTCAAAAGAGGGAAATTGAATAAGCAGTCCCTTGCTGAAGTTTTATAACAAGACAAAGTCAATGGGCTGCATCAAGTCAGAGTTTTGGTGTCACAGAGAAGCAGGTTATTGCTCGTCGGTTTCCAACAAAAAAAAGTTAAAAAATAAATAAATATTCACAGGGAAGTAAAATGTCTACCACCTCTATTACCATAGAGAATTTCAAATTAAAAAAAATGAAATAGTGCTACTTGCTACTCATGCATAATATTTGAATGAATTTATAACAATCAATATAATTGTGAGGATGAAAAACTAATGAATTACTGTGGAAACTTGGATTATGCATTGAAGTTGATTATCACATAGTTGAAGAGATGTCAACAAAGTTGTGGAGACTAAAGACAATAAAAAAAAGACCATAGGAAGGTACATCAATACTATCTGCCCCATAAAAACATTAAAAGGCAATAAAGACCCTGAATGAGGACGGAAAGAAGAGAACAAGTTCGGTCAATTCCTCAAAAGGCGCTGAAGATGGGCAGATGCCTTTTCTGGGAAAATGGCTTCAGTGGGAATTGCATTTGGGGATGGAAACACCTGGCTGGTTGAAGTCTTGGTCCAGTAATAGAGTTCGTCGTTTTCCCTACGCTTGCAGTAGATCAAACGATCCTGTCCCGCTCTACAAACAAAGGACAATCAATGTCAGCAAAAATTCAACTGATTGGATGGCGATGGAAATATACAAAAAGGCACAATTACCAACCTGATTGCAATTTGCTTCACAGGATGACATGCAAGAGTGGACTGTATATCAGAGATCGATTGATGGTCGACGGTCGTCTTGGAACCCTCCTGAACGATGCCGTCCCATTGACGGTCCAGCTTCAGCCAGCCGTAATGAGATGAAGTGGGGAAATTTGCTTGACCGTGGAGCTTCAGATGGAACCACAGAGTTCCTTCGATGATATGGACCCTTTTCTTCAACAGGGACACCTATCACAAATACCATTTGGTACACAACAAAGTCATTGAATATCATAGTAGCTACGCTTTGATGTTTTTTTTACCAAGTCATCAACTGTTTTCCATGGTGGCTGCAGCTCCCATTTGTGTTTCCTGTTGAGGGGAGACACAGAGAGTCTAAAGTGAATGATGAAGGCTGAAAGCATCTCTCCACTGCAGTGGATCACCAGCCAGGCTCGAACTGCTCCGTTCTCGCAGTGCGTGCCATCTGTCTCCTTGGATGGTCGACCAGAATCAGAAACATTGGGGACAGACCTGCACCTCTTGATGGGTGGTGCATCTTGAGATGCAGCAGAAGGTATGGGAAATGGTTGAGTAACACAGTCATGACTAGTCTCTATCAGAAGGTTATCACAGCTCGAACACGAGGAAGACGATGAATGAGTCCATTGAGGATCCGGATGAGGCTGCTGCCGCTTCTCGAGGAGTTTCTTGTATTCTACCACTGGGAGCCACACACTTGTCAGGATTGTCTTGGCTGACACCTCTGAATGCTATATGTATCATAGAAATAACCACACATGAGTTTCCACTGCAGAAGCAAGTATGACTACTGAGATGATTGAAGTTTCAACTAACCATCCTAGGAACATCAGCTATTGAGATCATTTTTGTGATATGTTTCCCAAGAGTGCTTGTGATCAACCTGTCAGGAAGTGGACAAGAACAGATTTCTGAGGTGATACAGATCTTCTGCAGACTGCATGTCTAGGTAAAAAAATACTCAGATGCTAAGATCCAGTCACAGGTCAGCATTCACTCCAAGGAGGGGATAGTATTTAAATTCAACAGTCACTAAAGTGAATCAGATGGAACCAGAAGAAATTAAAATGACATTGGGCAGAGAATTCAAGAAGCTCTCACAATCGGGCAATGAAGAACGCTCCACCGAGAACACACGGCAGTTCCTCGCATGCCTGCAGGAGTTCCTGTGCCTCCATGAAGCACTCTGATGCTGTCTGTCGCAGAAGGACAACCCCATACAGATAATGTGAATTCTACTTTACATTCATTTACAACTTGGACTCTTAGGTCACCTTTGGGACGCTGAGAAGTGAGATTCCCAGAAAAGGAGACTCGAGAGATCGCTGCAAGATGCTGCAGCAGACCGGAACAAAGCTGTCCATGACTTCCGAGTACGACATGAGTTTCACTCCGTGCTCGCCCCTGGGTCCCAGCCGATGGACGTCCCTGGAGCCCTCGTCCATCCCTCGCCTCAGCCGACTCGAGATCTTCGCCATCGTCCCGCAGAAAAACAGGAACGCGTCGATCAGCAGTTCACGCAGGAGCTCCTGTCCGCACGGATGAAGCTTCGTGTCGCAGCCGATCACCAGGTAATGGTCCCCAACGTTCCAGACCAAAGTGACCTCTTTCTCCAACACGAGCTTGGTCACAGGAGAGAACATGGACTCCATGGACAGAATAACGCCCATGAGCTGACCACAGAGCTGGACTTGGGAGTCGCTGGAAGCATTTTTGGGGAAGTAGAAGAGAATGGAATCCAACGGATCTCCCGCTTCATCCTCTGTGTCCGCCTTCAGTCTGTTCACGCTCACGCTCGTGTCATAGAGAAACAGGTACTTGAGACTGTAAGCCATGGACACTGGAATGGACAAACGGCGATCATGGCAAGTCCTTGTTGACAGCTTTAACCTATTCTATTCGTGCTAGCAAAGCACACAGCACTTCTACCAGGACACTTGGTCGCACGTGGGTAGTCATGTGAGCGACGATCGCAGACATTTTCAGATTCACCATAGCTGCCGTGCGAGACGGCTTCAGATTCCATACATTTTTCCAACCAGCCAAACGTTTAGACTTTTTGCAGAGACTTAAATTAACAAAATTGAGCTTTTTAAAATTATTATACGGCTCTAATCACGATTTGAGCATAAGTTGCCTGCTATGCATTGCAGACTACGAAGAGGATGGACTGGGATCGGACATCCGTGTGAGCCCGGCCCCAAGCTCCTCTCTTGTTTGAGCGAATCAAGTTCCGTAGTTGGAAGTTTTTTTTATATTGAAGTATGACGCGATGCGTCCTATCCACTCATTCCATGATTCATAGTTCTGGATGTATGTCTAAGCGTAGGCATAAGGTGAGGGTATCGGTACTAGTCGTGCAGCTTCATACGAAATCGTAGGAGTTTTTCCCCCCAATTTTAACGTTCGCCTAGCCGGCTGAAGTTAAGCCGAACGTGAACACGAATCTTATATAGACTAACAGTTGTGTATGTCTATCGGATGCGTCCGGCAACGAAATTCGGCCCCATTGCAAAAGGCTGGGGATGGCTCAAGGTTAGGCCAATCATGTGAACGGCGAAATTAGCCGCCCAAGTTCAAATCAGTTCACCTAACGTTAGGCTAGCTCACCTGGTCGACATGCTTCCAATTCAATCGATGGATGTTTTGCGTCCAAAAGAATTCCTGGACCTATGCAATGCTGCTTATATGATCTGAAGTCAAATTTTATATATTCCACTCAAATCCTAGGGGAAAAAACATTCTGTTCAGTTTGAACAGATCAAGCCCATGAGCATTTGATGCATGAAATCTTGCATGCAATGTAGTCAGGGACCAACTCCCTCTCAGAAACATGGGGCATGATTAGTATTGTCACAGCCTGCCCTCTAGTTGGATTAACCTTCCTCTAGACTCCTACTGTTTCAGTTGTACACAAATAAGAGGCTCAGTTTTGTGAACGCCTTTCTTTCTTTAAATTCCCTCCATTGTTCTCACAGGGGTAGGGCATTTCCCATGATAAATCCAACCAGATTAGGCCCATGCCCTTTCTTCCCCATATCTAGAAGGACGTTAGATTTATTACCAAATAGGTATATTCATAATACTGAATTTAGGGTAACATCATAGGCTAACATAGCCCTAATATTATGGAATAATACTGAGAGGGACAGCATGGTTATATGGCAAACTTTCACTGTCCCATACTTCTAGCTGAGTAGTTTAAGGAGGTTATTATTCTGTTTGAGTTTATTCTTGAATGAGTCCTGAGGCTTTATTGGGTTAATATTTTTTGCTGTTAAACTTGCATAAAAATGCCTCTCATTAGTTCTCTATACATAAAGCTGATCCATCCTATAATACAATCTTGCATTTGTGAGTTGTAATTTCTGACTGACCATGACCTTGACATTGCTGTAGTTAAGACTTCCCACAAAATTTCATTTTCCCATAATGAATTATTTATTCATCAGTTCCTAGATCACTTTTTGGACAGCCTTCCTTGGTTTTGACCTTTTTCCAGACCTACAGGGCCCTTTTCCTCTCTGCTCTAGAAAAAAGCATTATAAGTCTTAAGTATTTTATTTAAATAAAAGTTTTCTTGTAATGTTGTGCCAGTTCTTTTATTATCTGAATTACTATGATTTAGCTTCAGTTTGACTGGTAAGGAATTGGTTTTTAAAATAATTTGGGCAACTGATTGGTCTGAAATAGCACTGACCATCTGAGGACCAAGTAATGTGGGATTGAGCCTAGGAACTTATAAAAGTGTTCTCACTCTCTTGTGTGAGAGTGTCTATACATAGCCTGTGGGGCTAGGCTTTGAGAGTAGAGCTTTGAAGTGAAAGTTTGAGTTGGTATTTTTGTGGAGCTGTATTGCTGTTCAATTTTTCAGATTTTTTTGTTGCTGTGAAATTGAAGCAACTCATGAAAATTTATTTTACTCCTGTGTAGGTTCATGAGTCAAGAGTTTTTTTTTCTCTCACTTGGAGTGGGTCAGTTCATATCCAATGTCCTGTTTTTATCGTTGGCGAGATAATTCAGAAGAAAGTCTATCTTGAACACTATTTATTTATTTGAAGGAGTACTATCTAGGTTCGTGAGTAATGGGGAAACCAAAGAGAAAGGTGAGTTGCTTGGCAATCTATGTGCATTGTGCCGTGCATCTCTGAGAAATGGGATTATGTTTAATGTTTTTTTTTTTTCTGCAGGTAAAGCCTGCTAAGTATGAGGAATCCGAGTCTGAGGATTCTGACTTGGAGGAAGGAGATGATGACATGGATTCAGACTATGATCCAGATGAGGCAAGTGTCCCTGGAGGAGGGAAAAATGTTGAGTCATTAGCAGCTGCACAACAGAGGTTGGCTTTACATTCCTGTTGATGGTTTTTCCATGAAATATTTTAAGATGAACATTAGAATTTTGATTTGCTCATGTGTCAAACAGCAGAAATCTGCCCAAAGAGGAAGGTGGAGTTTCCATTTTGATAAAGACTGAATCCAAGCCTACCCAGGGCACTGTGGACATGTCTAGTCTGAAGATGCAAGGATTTGACCCGAGTGAAAAACTTCTCGCATCCGGTTTGGTGATGAAGAAAAATGTACCACAGGGATACGATGTAATCAAGATGAAATCAACCCCGATGGAAGGGGCATCCATGTCTGAATCATTCCTCCGGCAAGCACTCAAGTATCCCCAACAGGGTCCACTCCATGGAGGACTGGATGTTCTCAGCATGCTTGCTCAGTGTGAGTTTACCATATGCCAAGCCAGATGGATTTGCCAAAAGGATTGCTTTGCTGCAGATGCTGCTATGTTCTCAGATGTTTTGTTCTCTTTTAATTTTCCAATCTCTGTTCACCACTCCTGGGCCATCAGCAATGCCTGCTATGTGTTGCTGACCCATTGAAGTGCCAAAAAAAAGTAAAATGACAAAGATGTGGGCCATTTTTGTGTTGCTTTTACCTTCATGCTGCTACAGAATGCTTACTCTCCCCTTTGTGAATGTCCTCAGCTGTGAACCGAGTTGGACAGGCTGGCAATCCTGGAGGAAACGTCCTGGCACAATTGCCCAGTGCACTTGGAATGGCTAATGGAATGGGGTCCATGGGATACCCACAATCGTATGGAATCGGTGTATCGCCCAATAATTTCATGCCTGGATATTATGGACCAGATGGCAACTTCTTGTTGGGAAATGCCTTCCCAAAGTCTGGCTTCCCAGTGGTATGAACTAGAATTCCTCACCATTTTTTTTGGTCCAAAAAGATAAAAAAAAAAGAAGGCCTTTACATGGGATGATGGGAGATTTGTTGAACCAGGATAGGATATCTTTCTGAATGCTTAAAAATAAAAATATTAGAAGAGTTTTTGTCATAAAAATATCTGAATTCCTCATTTTGATGAGTGACTTGACTGATGATTGCTCATTTTAGAGAATCTAATTCATTTTTGCTTATTGCATCACAGGGGGCAAGCTTTTCTGGGATAATGGCAGGTGCCAAGCCTCCAGGAGCAGAAGGAGAAGAGGAAGATGATGACGACGAAGAAGAGCTGGGACTTGCTGACACATTTTCCGACTACATGCCTTCCAAACGTGAGCCCTAGAAGCTTGCAGAATTCTACTACCTTGTGTGCATCACTGCATTCAATACAGAGTGCTTCATATATAACTAAACAGACTTCATTGCTCATATCTTGGTAGTAATGCATTGTATAACAGTGAATCAACATTTACTATACCCATGATTTAGTCCTTGAGGTGCATAACTTGGTGGTGCTAGTTCAACAACATATTGAGATGTTTGACAGCAGAAGAAAAAGTGTGATGCATTTAAAGTTTGAAAGTGCAGCTGTGGTTCAGAGATTGTGGCACACACAATTCATTAGAGATCCTCCTATACTAGAAACAATCCTGCATATAAGTATGCATTTTAAGGAAGTTAAAAGAGTGGCTGACTTGCCGTGTTCCAGTTGAAAAAGATCAGTGAGGAATCAGTGGAAACTATGACAGAAACTTTTGCATATGACCCCCACAATTCATCTGACTTGCCTCAGAACCAAATGTCTTCCTCTTTGGTTTACTTTTCCTGATGTTAATGGGGTATTGTGAAGGGGCATTTAAACTTGCCAGTTTGCCAATGGTTGCCAGTTGCTCAGCAACTGGCAACCATTCATAAACTCAAAAAAATAGCTGAAGTTTCAAAGGGATTCAGTCATGACCTGTGCCAAAACATGTGCCATTCCAAATGAGGACATTTGTTTGGGTGCCTTGACAATAATTAGAGACAAATTTTTTGCACATTTTTGGGTTAATTTTCAGTTTTATTTGTGAATATACCAACTACCATGAGATATTTATGAAGTTGCCGTGTTTATTAGTTTTAGAGATATGAGCAATTAAGTCTGATTGGTTACATTTGAAACATCCTGCATATTTCATTGTCCATGTTTGTTCCAGTGAAAGTTGGATCGAAGCACCCTGACCCAGTTGTGGAAACTGCCACTCTTGCCAGTGTGAAGCCACCTAATGTGTGGTACAACTTGAAACTCCCATCCTTTATCATGGATAGAGAGCTTCTATCTGCTCTGCAATTGGAGGCCATTGTCTATGCCTGCCAGCAGCATGAGCAGTACCTTGGTGATGGATGTAGGGCTGGATATCTCATTGGTATGCTCTTGATTCAAACCAGACAGAAGCAAGCAGCATGAAGGGAAGAATTTGATCATTTGTGTTTTGTTTGCATCTTAGGGGATGGCGCTGGTGTTGGGAAAGGTCGAACAATAGCTGGGGTCATCTATGAGAACTGGCTCCAGGGGAGGAATAAGGCCATCTGGGTCTCAGTATCCAGTGATCTCAAGTATGATTCTGAGAGGGATCTCAAAGACATTCAGGCCAAGGAAGTCCAAGTCTATCCCCTGAACAAGGTTCGCTTCCCATTAAGCCTCTTCCTTTAAAGAAACCATGCCTATATTTATAGACTTGATTTTTGCTTGATAGATGAAGTATGCCAAGATATATGGGAAGGAGAATGGTTTCATCTCAGAGGGTGTTATCTATTCCACATATTCTGCTCTCATTGGAGAATCCCAGGGTACAGGAAAGTACAGAACAAGGCTCAAGCAGCTTCTTGACTGGTGTGGACCTGACTTTGATGGAGTTGTATCCTTTTTCATACCTTATATTTTCTGCATTGCCACTGGACTCATCAGAGTGCAAAATTAGTTGAGTGATTTCCTTAATTATGAGAATTGGTAGCTTGTGTTTGATGAATGCCATCGTGCCAAGAACTTGGTCCCAACAGGATCCACAAAGCCCACAAAAACTGGTCTCACTGTTTTGGAGCTGCAACAGAAGCTACCTAAAGCTCGAGTTGTGTATGCTTCGGCAACAGGGGCGTCGGAGCCTCGAAACATGGCCTACATGACGAGACTAGGTATCTGGGGACCTGGAACTCCATTCAGAGAGTTTGGAGACTTCATTTCCTCTGTTGAGAAGAGGTATGTTTTTGAAGCCAAACAAGGAAGTTTGTCTCTTTTCAAAGCTCTGGTATGTCATTAGTACAGTGTCTGTTGTACAGGGGTGTTGGTGCGATGGAGATTGTGGCCATGGACATGAAGCTGCGAGGGACTTACATTGCCAGGCAGCTCAGCTTCCATGGAGTAAGCTTCAAAATTGAGGATGTTCCTCTTGCCCAAGACTTCATTACTGCTTATGATGAGGCTGTGAAGTTGGTATGTTTGCTCTATGCATTCTGCTCCTTGTGTTGCATCTCATATGCCCAATCTGGATTTCTGGTGATATGTGTATGATGGACACTTTGGCATTTTTGGTAGTGGGTGTATGCAAGAGAGAAGTTTGAGGAAGCTGCCTGTCTTCTAGATGCAGATCGAAGTATGCGAAAGACTATGTGGAGCCAATTTTGGGGTTCTCATCAGCGCTTCTTCAAGTATCTGTGCATTGGTTCCAAGGTGAAGCATGCAGTACGATTAGCGAGGTGAGTTTGAGATGCATGACCTTGAATGTGCAATTAGCTGTTAAAATGAACATTGCATTATGCTATGTACTTTTAAAAGGTGTAAAAATGTAATCACATTTTGCCATAGAATCTGTAATGCTTTATTATATTTTTCAAGGTTCATCAAGCTTCTATTCAGCCATGAGTTGCAATCACATTCATGATTTTCTTCCAGGGAGGCTATTAAGATGGGAAAATGTGTGGTGATTGGACTTCAGTCAACAGGGGAAGCAAGGACACTAGAAGCCCTGGAGAAAGAGGATGGAACACTCACAGAATTCGTCTCTACAGCTAAGTATGCACCCCTATCTCAATTTAGTGTTTTAATTAAAGATTTGAATTTTTGTGAAATCAGGTAAGTATCCTCTTTGCTGAGTTTGTTTCTGAAGTTTCCTTTATTGAAAATAATTATAGGTCTGTTAGAGGAGTTGCAAGGATGCAGGTAAATGTATATATTTTCAAGACTGTCCATCCCAACTTAATGGGGTTCACAGTTAAGTTTGCTCAGAAGTTTCCTCCAACGTATCCTACCTTGGGCAACAAGAGTAGAACTCAGCAGATGTGAATGCTTGAGTTTCTTATGAGGAAGCTTTGAAGCATAATTGTTCCACCCTCTAGGAGTTTTGTCTTCTGGTATTTATTTGAAAGATTGTATTTACAAAAGGAAAATTTCAAAAGACAAAACTGCGAATAAAATGAATTTGAATCAAGTAAATGTATTTATTTCCTCTTAAATGCCTTATGGAATAGACTTGTCTTAAAATTTCTTGACATTCATGCATCAGAATTTCACTTTCAAAACATGTATACCTATGTGCTATTCACCACTGATACTGGTATCTGGGATATTGGTCAGTGGTTGTTATGATGAATGATATGATGTGTGTTTTTGACTTGTGGTCTTTCTATCACGTCTAATTTTTCCATTGTTTCTTTCCTCTAGGGCTGTATTTCAGACATTGGTGGAGAAGCATTTTCCTGCTCCTGACCGTAATCGCATCGCCCGCCTCCTTGGAATTGGATTTGGTGGAAAGACTCAGCTTGAACAAATCATGGAGGAGACAGACCCTAAGGATGGCTGTTCCTCCTCATCATCTTCCAAGCGCAAACCAAGTAATAGCATAATTTTATTTTCATACATCTATTGATTCATTAAGGTCATGTCCCCCATTCTTGATTCCTTTTCCAAAAAACATTGCAAACCAGGATGGAGAGAATCAGGTGAAGATTCTTAGCTCTTTTTAAAGCATACATTTCATTAGCATGTCTGTTGCAATTCTCTACCTGCACATAGTGATAATTTTAGTTTTAGTCATCATGCCTTTGCCTTTTTTTGCTTCATCCAGTGCGTCAGGCAGCATCTCGTGCCAAACGGATGAAGGAGAACTCATCCTCGGACAGTGATTCGGAGCGGAATCGGAATTCAGACTCGGACTTCACGTTAAGTGATGGAGAGGCAAGCTCTTCGGTTGAGGAAGAAGAAGATGAGGAGGACTCTTCGAGTTTTGAGGGATCTGATACCGATGAGGAGGAGGATACGGGTGAGTGGAAGGGTATTTGTGGCATGAATGATCCATCATCTCATTGCTCAGAGTCCTCATACAATGGAGTTTGGGTATGGAGAATTGAGTGGATGATGGAAGAGAAAATTAGACTGGATTAGGAGGCTCCGAGGGATTTGGGCTTCCTGTCTATGTTGCCTGAGTCTGCGATGTGTCTCCTACAGTCAAAGACTTTGTTTTCTTTTAAATGAAAATGTAATTGTTCCCATTTCTGTAGTAAGCCAACAGATTTTTTACATACCATTTTATTCTCATGCCAAGTTGAGTTTTTCATTTTCATTGTGGAACTCTAAAGGTTTAACATAAGCAATGCAATTCCTATGTTTTTTGCTTTAAAACTGAGTTGTTAACTAGAGTGTTTGGCAATTAGTATCCCAAGGTAATAAAACAAAGGTTCAACTCATTTGACATACCAAGTGATGATGATTGTCCCCACTTGACCTTGACAGCAGTCAGCCTTTGGATGTCAGAATCCATGACAAGGTTTCCTAGTCTAGTAGTGCTTGGTGTCTGAAGGTACTTCTGCCACAGGCTCAGCATGAATTAAGAACATGAAACTGGTTTTCAGCTTTTTACATTCTGGTGCATTCTGGAGTGAAACTTGACCCTGGATTATCTACTTTGAATATTTTTTCAGACCTGTTGCCTCTTATTTCCCACTGAGAGGGAGTTGCCATTGTATGTATCATGAGCAGGCAACTGACAAATTTTACAAACTGCTAGATATCTTTACTATCCAACTTTCAAGAGTATTCTGTAACCAAAAGATCACTGGGAGGAGCTCTCTGGCTGCCATTCACTAAAGAATGGATATAGCCCCCTGTTACTGGGGGAACTTGCCAGTTTCATTTCTCGTCTGGTTGTAGCATAACTGGCAAGTTAAAGGAGGCTTAGATACTGTTATGGCAAGGTGTATGGGAAGAGAATTTTCAGTGTTGTGTGATGGTCTTCCTTGAATTCTAGCTTCTTTTCATTTTTAATGAATCATTTGATTTGTTATGACTACTAGGGATCTGGGTGGCAACAGGGAAGAAGCGAGGCCGAGGTCGACCCCCCAAAAAGAAGCCAAAGCCAACTGCAAAGGCAAATGGGAAGGGAGAGGTAAAGGTCGAAAAGGTACCCCCTCCTTCCAAGGATGTTGTGGAGCGTACATGTCAGCTCAAGGATGATTTGCTGAAGAAGATTGAAGATCTCGGTGATCGGCTTCCTCCCAACACGCTTGATCAACTTATTGATGAACTGGGTGGACCTGAAAATGTTGCTGAGGTTTGCAACACTTCAATGACAATTTTTGATTGACCACTTCTAATCATGAATGTGTGGTTATTCTCATGTTGAATTTTTCAGATGACCGGAAGGAAAGGTCGGGTGATAGCTGATGAAGGCGGAAAGGTCCGGTACGAGAGTCGGTCTGAAGAAGACATACCTCTGGAACAGCTGAACCTGCGAGAAAAGGCCAGATTCATGGATAATGTTAAGGATGTGGCCATCATCTCAGAGGCAGCCAGCAGTGGGATCTCTCTTCAGAGTGACAAGAGGGTCAAAAACCAGCGGAGACGAGTTCACATCACCCTTGAACTGCCTTGGAGTGCTGATCGTGCCATCCAGCAGTTTGGTTTGTCCTTAGCACATGATTGTATCTTGGAATTGAGGTCCTTAGAGTTGATTCATTCACACAGTTTCATGTTTTGTCTCATAGGTCGAACTCATCGAAGCAATCAAGCAAATGCCCCTGAGTATGTGTTCCTCATCTCAAACCTGGCTGGAGAGAGCCGGTTTGCTTCTATTGTTGCCAAGCGACTTGAAAGCCTTGTTAGTAAATTTTTCTCCACTCTTTGTCTCCAGATGTATCGACCAAAATTTAGTTGTTTGGGAATTTTCACTCAAGTAGGAGTTAGTTATATGGGTTAGGTGATAAAAGGAATTTTCTAATTCTTAAAATAAAAATATTCATCATGTTCGTTTTTTCAACATGCTCAGATACTTAATCACTTCTTTTTTTTTTTTTTTACTTAGGGAGCTTTGACACATGGAGACCGGAGGGCAACTGAGACCCGAGATCTCTCTCGCTTCAACATTGACAACAAGTATGGACGGGCTGCCCTAGAAGCAACCATGAAAACTATCATGGGCTATGAATTCCCAATTGTCAAGCCTCCTGAAGACTACCAGGGTGACTTCCTCAAAGGTTTGCTCTTCCTGCAGATCAACAAGCATAGACCAGTAAATGCAGCATACAGGGAATCTCTCAACCTTGTTTGGCTTTTTGCTCCAGATGTCCAAATTGGGATGATTGGTGTTGGGCTAATCATTAGTGAGGGCGGGGTCCCTGCCCTTGATAAAGACTTCAACAACATCAGCAAATTTCTCAACAGGTGAGAAGTTTATCATGTTTATGATTGAATATGGAGATGATTACCAATGCATCAATCAGTTGAAGATTTTCTTTGTTTTTCTTGTTTGATGATCCTGAGTCTAATTAATTTAAAGTTTTATTACCTTTTTTTTCTTTCAGGATACTGGGTCTCCCTGTGGAGTTGCAAAATCGCCTATTTCAGTATTTCACAGACACATTGAATGCAATCGTGTCACAGGCCAAGAAAGCCGGTCGCTACGATCTTGGAATCCTTGGTTAGTTCTGCTCCATCTGCCCTTTTATTTTTTCCACAAGGGTTGAGTTGACATTTTGTTTTGTCCCACCACGATGACAGATCTAGGGACATCAGGTGATACAGTGAGACAGATCGGGGTAGAAAAGTTCGAGGTGAGGCATGCAACAGGTAAGGCATGGGTTGAGCTGCATAAGATGCAGGTGGAACGAGGAATGAGCTGGGAAGAGGCTGAGGAACGGCAGTCCACTCTCTCAGAGAAGGATGAGGGCTTTTACCTCTCCAATCAGGTCCTATCCTTTTCATTCTGTGTCTCATCTCATACCTTGTCACATGTATGAGAAGGATTCATTTCTCCTTAAAGGTGCGAAACAACAAGACAACAGCCATTCTGGCTGTGCTTAGCAGTGGGGCAGGGAAGACTAAGCACAAGAATGAGCGGTACTTCACCATTTACAGACCCAATACAGGTCGACAGGTAATTTCAATTTCTGTATTTGACAACCTACTTACTGCTGCTGTGACAGATCCACTGGCACTTGCAGTCAAACAAATAATAGACTGCATTTTCTAAACCTGCAAACATGACCAACTTCAGTCCATTTCAAGTGAAGTGTATCATGCCAAGTGTTGTTCATTCATGCATTGCTGACTTGGTCTGAATGTCTTTTTTTCTTCTATTTTGAGTAGATGAAGCAAGAGCTCTTTGGAGAGTTGATAAAAAAATACCGAAAGGCAAAGCCAAAAGAAGCCAAGCCTCATTGGAATGAGCAGTATGAGGCTTCCATTACAGTCTGCTCCCATGCCTATTGGTAGGATCCAGTTCCCCTCTTTCCTCAACATTCAGTGCCTGCTTTACATGTGATAGGATCATCTTTTTTCCACGTTGCATCAGGAATGGGAACTGCAGGCGGAAGATCGTAGGATGGGATTGCGATGTGGGTCTCCGTTCTCGTGTCTATCACATTCTATGTGGGGCAGTGCTCAATGTGTGGACTAAGGTGGAAGCTGTGACCCAGGCTCACTCTGCTTCCTCACGTGTCGTCAAGATGCAGGTCGTCCGCCTCCGCACAGAGGATGGCACCAAGATTGTTGGTCAGTCCTCCCATTCCTCTGTCCCATTTTCCCCCCATTTCCTGATTGCATGGCTGTTACTCTGCATTGTATTAATGTCTAATGGAAGAAGTGAAGCCATTGATCACGCTGTGAGATATGATAAATTTAAGTGCTGCAATTGCTGGGAAATGACCCTTACTTGCTGAGTATGGAAGGAATGCCTTGCACATCTCTGTATTCAATACTCTGTCTTCTTAGCTTCATTTTTAGGAAATGTAGATTTTTGATGCATTTATGCTACCATTAGTAGTCAGTTTATATTATAAGTCAAGGTATGTCATTTCATCTCAATACAGAGGTTGCTAAATTGTCAGCAGTTTGTTTCACATTTTATGTTATATGGTATGATTTTAGATTTGGTTCACAAGTTGATATGTGATTGCAGGGACAATTATTCCAAACACAAGTGTGGAGCATTTAAAGGAAGTTTTGAAGAAGCACTGTGAGGAGCAGGAGTTGGTACAAGCCAGAGAGAGGCTGCCAGTCAAGCAGGAAGACTCAGACGATTTTTGACGGGTCTGCATGCATACCTTGATGCTCTCACCACTCCTACATGATCTCGGTTCCCCCCCCCCCCCTTTTTTTTATCTTGTATGCAAGATGAATGGAGGTGTGATGGTGGTCTATGCTCTCCATTGTGAGTGTGTCCTGTCATCAGTTGTGGCCGTCGCCGTGGATCGTCTCCGGTTTTTCGTATCGGTGGTAACGTATCGTTTGTTTCCCCGTCTGGGACCCTCCATGCATTAGACCTGAAGCACATCCAATACTGTTTTTTTTTTCACCATTCCATCTCATATAATTGTGGATTTCCCTGGAAGAAGGGCCTCATGGATGGGAACCCCCTTTTGCAAAAGTGATTAGTGCTATGAATTCTGCATGACTTATTCTATTGAAGTCAGGGACACCTTATCTCCCTTTGTTGAATTGAATTTTGCATGTTCATCGTTCTTTATGGAGGAATCCTTTTCCTCGAAACATTCGACGGGATCTGCATCGAGGCCTTTCTTCAGGGGAGATCCCCAGTCGTCCATGTGATCCCACTCCGTGCGTGATACCGGAGCAGAAAGAAACAAAGGAATGTTCTTTTTTAAAAACACCCCCATGCCTTTTCATTCCTACTCGCTCTCTCAAGTTTGAAAGTAGATGCCAATTCAACGAAATTGCCGTGAAGTTGATCCAGCGAAAGATGAGCGAGAAAGAAAAGCGTTGGGCTACGTCACAAATTACACCAGCTGCAGGAATAATAAAGTGGGTCACCGACACGAGGTATACTGGGTCCACCTGTAAAGCCGGTAAAAGTGGTGTGGAAAACATGCAGCAGCTGAGAAGAAACGGCCTTGCATATTCTCGCAACACTTAAATTTGCGGGTGGAATTGTTTGAGTTTGAATTGGAATTGTCTCTGCGTGCAAGAGGACTCTTTCTTCTGAGCGAAAAAGAAGAAACCGAACGGGAAGACCCTCGCTCCGGTCATAGAAACAAGGAGCTGGAAGGAGTCCGTCTCAATCTCCGCCAATTCTGATTCTATGGCTGCGAATTCCTCCAATTCTCATCCGGTTTCCCTGCCGCGTTTTTCTCTTGAGTATTTTGCGGCGGCCGTGAGCATTTCCTTAACCGGTGCTGGTAAGAGTGGAGTTAGGGCGCTACGTGATATTTACGATCAAAAAAAGAAACTTCAGAATGAATCTTCGCGCTACGAAAATTCATATTAAAAATATACATCCGCCTCGAAACGCTGGAATTACGCGAAGACTGAGTGAGGCTGCTGCCATGGCTAACAATTATCCGCTGCGTTCCAAACTTTCGTAACTTTTTCGAAACTTGCATGAATTGCTCATCAGATTCAGATCGTGTGGATTCCGAGAGTATCGAATGCAATACCCGGCGCGAACCGAAGAGTACCGCCAGAAAGTTAGCAGAATCGCGCCCACGGATCGAGAATTACGTCGAGCAAACATCAAGTTCTCGTGAAGGAATGGTTTTTTTTTTGTGAGTCGAACGCGCATCGCATCGCTTCTCTCCACTTAGATTTCCCGGCATATATATTTTTTTTTTTTTAGCAGGCCGAGGAACTCCTGCAAGGAGACAATGGCAGACGCGATCTGCATTAATTATGGAGAACGGAACTCGAAGCTTGAAAGCCCGTGGCCAGAAGCTAGGCGCGGTCAGCCAACCAGAAGTGATAGAAATATCTTATTTACATCTTTCGCGAAAACAATCTGATATTTATAGATAATTTTCCTGTGGTATGGAGCACGATTTGTGATTTTTTGTGATTTTGGAAAACCTCATGATTTTAATATAAAAAGGGTTTATTGTAGAGGTTTTTCACTTCATGGTCAACGTAGATCTGATGCACCTGATTCAAGTTAAATCTTTGTTGGCCAGTGGGAAGAATTCTTCCCGGAAAACGTTTCATCCCAGTCAGTTTCATACCAGCCCTAAATTGTTTTTTTTTTGGGGGGGGGGGGGGGTTCGAAGTTCGCATAACCTGTCTTTCAAATGTCACCAAATGCAAGGTGTTGCCGTTCCAGCTTAAAAAGCTTAAAACTAAATTAAATTCGGGATTCAGCCCAAATATCACTGCGTAGATTTGCAACTGGAAATTGATTAACCTGTACGATTCACGCCTTTAATTTGAATCGTCGTCCTTCCGTTTTCAGAAAAAAATTTAGCAGCAGCTGTGCAGGACGTTTCCTTGACGTTTCCTTTACGAAAGCGAGTTGTTGCATGGAACTGGCGTGACCTTCACGTTTCACCGCCTATCTCTGTGCCTTTCCAGCTTCGCTCTCAGGTCGTTTGCTTATATCTTTCGGCGTCCCCCACCCTCGAGGGAAGGGGGATGGAGAAGTAGAGAGATACCATCATGAGCAGGGGTTTGGGGGGGGGGAGGGGTTGTTCAGACCTCCAGATCCGCCCCCCCCCCCCCCCCCCCCCCCCCCCCCCCCC